CTGAAAGTGCTGTCATGTTGTAAATTTTGAATTTACCGGGTGACAGTAAATACAAATTTTACAACATTGTCGGTAAATTCAAAATTTACAACATGACAGTGCCAGCCATTTTTTCATCAACTTTCAACATGATTCAATCAGCCTAGTAGTACCAGCAGTCCTTTTTACCTAGGATTTCCATGAAGCTAAGCAGTGCTGGAATGTACTGGGATAGGATTCTTACTTTACTCTTACTCTGGTGATGAGAGATGCGATTATCCAATAGACAAATTCACAAAAAATCTTATGATAAATTTCTATCGTAAGGAAAATCTTTTGATTTGATTCCTTTTAAAAAATTCTTACAAGATTCCTACATGTGTGTTATTTGTCGTAAATTTACCAGAGCCCTAACCCTCTCGTAATAAGTATTTAAGAAAATTTTTTTTAGTAAAAATATAACCGCAAAAACCAAAACAAAAAAAACACGTTTAATTGAACTTTTTAAGCAACCTAATTTATCATTTTATATTTTCTGACTATAGCATTTTGCTACAGTAAATTTTCCTTTAGATCCTGGTCCCCCCCCCCCCCCCACTACTTTTTGATGTTGTAAGGTCGAGCAATGGCAAGTTTCATGATTTGGACAGCAAATTAACTTTTTTTTACTTGTCAGATAATTTTGGGAATTTTCCCCCACTCTTGGTCAGTATGGTCTTTTGTCAGATTTTTTTTTTTGAATTTGCCCCCCCCCCCCCACCACCACCAATTTTGAAGCCATTGCTACGGGTCTGAGTTTAAAGTATTACGAATGAGTTCGTGAAAAACACTTAAGATTTGTCGTAAATGATTCTTAAGATTCTTAAGATAAAGTCTAACGCAAAAACTTAAGACTGTTTGCGAAAAGGGCAACTGGTTTCTCAGTTTGGATGGTACACCCTAATGGACTCAGAGAATGGAAACTTGTTGGACTTGCAATTATTTCAGCTACCTACCTGGTATATAAATTGTTCCTACTGTGGTTAATGTGAATAGCTAGGGAGATATCTGTTTTATATTGGGGTTAAAGTAAAGATTTTAAGTTGTGTAATTTCACTATTTAATATGATAATAATTAATTAATACTTGAGTGCCAATAAAAAGAAAGTTAATAAAATCTTCATTGAATTGAGGTGAAGAAAATAAATAAAAACTTTGTAGATATAGATATAGAAGTTTTGTGTAACCTTACTTAATTCATACACTTGTACAGTAATTAATTAAATGGTCTTTTTTACAATTTAAAGAGGTTGCTGGTTCAACTACTGTAGAGTTAGAGAGCTCGAACAGGGGACTGGGAAGAGTGGAAGAGGCAGGCATCAGTGTCCATGTCCTTGATAGATACAGGCATATGTTGGAAAAAAAGTACATGATGACTGAGCATACAGATAAGAAACACTACTTTGATGAATGGTATTTTATGTAATTTTGATTATTATCATGTAAACAAGTTCCGAGATGAAAAAAGGATAAGTTTTATCTGAAAAATATTCATTCTGAGATGTAAATATTTGTATTAGTAACATCATTATAACTTGTGCTGAAAATGAAAGGGGAAAACACTAGTTCCAGTTTTTAAAAGATTGATATGAACTTCCTTTTATATAATTTATCAATTAAATATTTATTTAGGTGTTTCAAAGAAACTAGAATAGGCGACCAAGAAGCGAGACTGTGGGGACATTCGAATGTGGGTGAAGAGTTCAGTCAACCACTGTTACTGGGTGTCGGCCTCCAAGGGGGGTAATGGGGAAAAGAAAGAACAGAAATTGTCATCTTTGGTTGAACATATCACCGACAGACATGACAACTGTCAACGTGTTGAATGAGGACCGATAATTGCTTAGAGAAGGTATTTTTGAAAATTGATAAAAATAATTTTATGATGTAATATACTAAACTAAAGTTATCTTATGTTCAATGCCCATGGCATGAAACATCACATGACTTCTGGCTAACATTTTATCTACTATGTAATTTAAATTTCCAGGTTCCAGATCCCACATGCTTTTCGGGGAAGTAGTCAAAAACAAGTTCCTCATGAATGACATTGGAAACTTATCTCCCCTAGCTGCACCAGACATATGACCATGAGGGTGTTTCAAAGTGAACACCTTCGAACCCAAGACGCCAGACTTTTTCATCCTGCAATACTGGCCATGTAATTTTATAAAATTTCATAAGTATTTAGCATTTATTTCAAACATTCATGATGAAGTAAATTCATTAAGTAGTAATCAACATTTCTTTTCACTCTGTACAGACTGAGTGTTACAGTTCTACATTTCAATGATAATGGGCAGCGTCCTCAGGCTGTAACCAGAGCTGAAGAGTTACAGTGACACACCGGCAGATTCTAATTTATCTTTTGTTTCTCAGAAAAAGACATAACCAGTTCTCATATTAACTATTTTATTCGTTAGTGCTGGACATAAGCATATACAAATCGTCAAATATCAATTACATGCATATTTGAATTAAGACAATTTATGTTTTGATTTTTAAAGATAGTAATGAAGAGAAAGAAGTATAACTCTTATTATTGACAAGAATGACCAAAACCATGAAAATGTTCACGATGACATATCTTTGTGAAAAACAAAAGTTTTAAATGTCTACTCTTCTATCCGATCAGATGCAGAACGTAAGCAACATGTATTGTCAAACATACCAATGTGTTACAGACCGAGAATAATGAATAAAGACTTAGAGCAGCAGAATGCGAGTAAAAAAGTCAAATTTAAAATATTGGAGAAAAATTTGAAAACGGATTTTTTTTTATCTATGTTCTTCGTAATGCATCTGTTTTAGAGCGAGGTTCAAATCTTAAGCACATACTGTTTAAACTGCTAAAAATCATTTTAACTGCTAAAGATAATGTTTAGCTTAAAGTTACATAATGAGTCAATTGCAAAACCATGTGTTTCTTGTAAGATAATTGTATAACAAAACAAAAGATTTATGTGAAACATGAATAAAGCAAAGTTTTGAAAACTCAACTGCACTGTAAAGGAAGACGGGTCTGTAGGAAACAATTTCATTTTGAGGGGGCACACCATACATTTTCAGTTGAGGGGGGGCACTATCAACTACCAAAATTCCCTGACAAGAAAAAAAAAAGGGCATCAGACGTTATTATTGAGGGGGCACAAGCATATAGCAGCTATGTTTTCTATAGTATTCTATATATCGGCAAAATTATTGGGGGGCACGCCCCAGCCGTGCCCCCCCCCCGGTTCCTACGGCCATGAAAGAACTGCAAAATGTAAGTGCCGGAAAAAGAAATGTATCTATCGCGTAGTTTTTATCGTCAATGTCAACAATGTTAAGGTCACGCGTCCTTTATTTTTATCGTGAAACTTGTAAACAACATTGAATTGGAGCTAGCAAACTTGAGGAATAAGTTCTGGTCATCTTTTTTGAAGATTGTATCAGAATTCTCGGTCATCCGACTTTTATATATATATGGAATTGACACCATGGTAAATTCTTCATCTTTTCAGCGCATGCGTACAATAAAGAGAAAACAGTGCAGCAATATTTTTAATTTTGTGTTGGGTTATACAAAGATATTTTTTGCTTTTATTTTTCTCCATAAAAGTAGATTTTTTTGGTTCTGAAACCTGTAATTTTCTGAAACCTAATATCTTCAGGAACTGAACAAAATTTGCATGTGTCATGCAAAAATTCTACTTTTGTCAATTTTCCCGTTTTTCCGTCACAGTGTCACCTTAAAAGAAAATAGATCCATTAACTTAATTAGGAAATGTCTCTTTTCCTCTTTTTCTACTACAATATATGACAAAAGATATTCAAAACCATTGTGTGTTTACATAAATACCTTTACTGTGCAGTTTAACACAATTTTAGATTATACGCAACAAAAACCAAACAAACCATAAATTTAAGTTTTTTCTTGTTGATTGCAAGAAAAAGTATTCAGAGAAAAAAAAATTAAGGCAGAAAATCTGTAGCTCAAATAGCACAATAGAAGGTATCGACAAAAATATCATTCAATCGTACAGTGAGAGTTGTAGCATCTCTCACGTTTTTCAAATTTTACCTCCCCCCTCCAAATAATTCAAAAATCGTTAAGAAGTAACTTTTATATTAAAATCTTTATCTACTTGAAAACGTTATTCCTAATTCGGGAATGTTTTGTTGCATTGATTGAGAATTCATTTTTGATCGCAAGTGGAAAAAACAGTAGATGTATAGGGACAAAGTTTATAATAAAGTAATTTGTATACCTATGTACTTTTTCACCCCAAAACGACGTGAGTGGATTTCATAAATATATGATTACTCACAACCAGCTTTCAAATAAGATATTTACACAGGTCTAACAAATAATCACATTTGAAGTAATACTAGGCATAAAACAGGTAAAAAAAATTGTAATAATCAAATTTTAAACATTACTGTACACCAGTCATGTAAAATTTCTGTCATATGCTTTAGGTAAAATTGTAAGCAAATAGATATGAACATCATCCAAACTTCAAATTATACAAACGCTGTTATTGCACAATTATGATAATGATTTCAGATAATACTTAATTTGTATTTTTTTTAAATATATACTGCATTTCATGTATGATGGAAAATATAGATAGCTTATAAGATCGCAGGTAAATGACTTCTGTATATGCATTTAGTAAAGTGAAATACATGTACTACAATTTACATTAAAAAAAATCGTCTATTTCTCACTCGATTTTTCTCAATGATAAATAAAATTATCAGTATTAAACAGAGTAGAATATCCACATAAAGATGTGGATAACACCACAAATTTTATCACGTATTTCTAACTCTGATAACTATGTTTTAGCAAACATCACAACTAGCAAGCAAAGGAAATTAAAAGGACACAAGAATGTTTGCTATAAATCATATCTACATTCTAGAGTCAATGAATTCAGATGTCAAAAATGAAGACCTCACTACTTTCGTTGACACGGATTCCGACAGATCCTTCGAGAAAGAAATGAATTCTGGTATTATGGAGGCAGATGAACTTACCTCCCCAAGTATGGATATGGATTATCGTTATCAAGGTAAAATCCAACATATATTTCAGCATTATTTCCATCCTAAAATATTGAAATTTTAATGATTGAGTTTGTTAAGTGTTAATGTTTTCTTTCCATTGTGAATATTCTTTTATGTTAATTTAATTTTACTGATTATTTTTTTTTCATTTTCTTAAGCATATTCGTTTACTGAATAATAATACTAACTTGGGTATACAATAGCGCACTATATAGTGGTGATACCTAGAAATAAATCCAATGAAGGACACTCTTGTATTACCAAAACACAAAGGAAACTCATGGGGTATTTCTTCAATATCTTCGATGATGTACTGCATTGGGAAATTTTCGCTCCACTTAAAGCTTTGCCTGTCTTAATAGATCTTTTGTTGTTGAATTTCGTAAAGAAAAATCAACAGAATATGTTCTAAACATTGCTGACGGTCCAGACATCATGTAGTGTCCATTATCAAAAGTTGTCATGGTTTGCTTGAGAACGAATTCTATCTGATTTAGACTTTTTCAGCTTTCCTTATACTCTTCAGTCTTTATCACGTCAATACTATCCTCATTCTTTTTGCATGGGATCTTATGGTTGGGCTAGTGTTGTTTTTGGCATGCTTTTGAGCATTAGCTGACAGCCAAGGAACGCCCATACCTCTTGAGTTGTTCTACTGTATAATAACTGTATGGCTTTTCACTAAGAAAATGGAATAAATTATGTTCATCGCTTATCACTGTCTCTCCGACATTCTTCAGCTTTCCACAGTTTTATGGTTCGTTTAAGTCTTTCTCTCGACAGTCTCTGCTGCAATAGTACACCATAAGGCATTTTCTACATTTCTCCATTCCTTCTTTTTGAATTCCGCAGTTGTTGCATTTATTTTCCATTTTGTCCTAAAACAAATTATTATGCATTTCACATCTTAAACAGTTTTTATTTCATTCATGATATTACGGTCCGTCCCGATCTCTTTTAAACATTGAATTTTATTGAAAATGGACAATAAGATAATCAGGTTCTGGTGTATCTTTCATCTATAGTCTTTATTCTATAGATATTCTTTAGATTGATTGATTGATTGTATTTTGCTTTACGTCCCCTTCAAGAATTTTTCACTCAGATGAGGCGTCACCATATATACTGGTGAAGGGCTTCAAAATAATACCTTTACTCGACACTAAGAGCTATTACGGAGTGAGGTTCTTTATCATGCCAACGCCTACCGCGACACAGGACCTCGGTTTTTAAGGTCTCATCCAAAAGTCCAGTGACCGGGAGCTTGATGAAGGAACAGTCATTATCTATCTTTACGTCTTAGGTTTGATGTGGCGCCGGGAACGAGAATTGAACCCGGTACCTCCCGATCAAGAAGCGATCGCCCTTCCACTAGGCTAGCGTGACCAGAATATATTTTTTCAAATAGTGTTTAGAGGCTTACTCACTGAGGAAAATGTATTGTTGACTCTGGCTTGTTGTTCATTTGCCTTAGATTTGAACCACTGGTCATCTTACTAAAACAGACAAGAAAATTAACCAAATTGTTTGAAAAATGATATTTTTTTGAGAAAACAAAGTTGTACCTATGATTGGATCTATTTTGTATCCATTTATCTGCCGTACCTAGGATTGAACAATAAAATTGCGGTGTCCTTGTTATTATGTAAAAAAGCCGTGCAATTAATTAATTTTTATCCATATACATGTATTGCATGCATCATGAAGTTGACATAACTACATTTATTTGAATTTTTTTCATTAGTATATAGAATGACCTGATGCGTCCTCGTAAATTTTAGTAAATAACAGATCAAAATACATAGTGGTAAGGCTATGGCTGCAATCTGTTTGAACACATATTTTATCCCTTCAACAAACATCTCAGCAGGTGCATCAAGAATATAATTGGCTGATATGAATTAAAGTATAAAAGGTGAGGTAGTGACGATTATTTTCATAAGATTTGCCATAACGAAGGTCTTTTGTTTTTATCTTTTTAGGGACTTAGTGCATTTCAATGCAAGATAAAAAGAGGGGAATTCCTAATCACTGAGCCTGGTCAGCTCCGGGGTTTCTGTTTTGGTAGAGTTTTTTAAACTCCTTTTATACTGATTTTCTTAGATAAATCATTGGGTTATACATGTACATGTATCTTAAAAGACCAGCAAATGAAAAATAACTAAAGCATATTCTTTGTTTGTTTGTTTTTATATTTGTTTTGTTTGCTTTTCTTATCGTTATTATTTTTTTCTGTTTGTTATGTTCATCCCTGTTCAGATCACCAGAGGCCATTATTTAATCATAGTTTAGCTTTCACTTTGTGATAGCTACTATTCCTTGTCTTGAAGTCATCCAACATTGTTCTTTACCAAATTTGTAATTTCCTCACGAAAGTTTGATGGCATATTGTATACCTATATATAGAGTCAAATTGATTTGGATTTGACGATTATATACATGTATTACAAGACTTTCGATTCCTTTGAAGAGAGTATGTAGATGATCTGTCCTATTTAACTCAACATTAAATTTTAATTTTTACCCAAACATAACCTTTGTCAGAATTTGTAAATTAAAAATGATTGCTTTTGCACCTGATACCACCTCTGTTTTGCTCACATTTTTTAGATTAAATGGACTTGTGAGTATGTTCACTCTTCGTTACATGTATCTTCACATTTCATAGAAAACATTTTACGTACTTAAGTTTTTCCCACAGTGTCTCCCTTAAAAACAACATATTTAATGTATTTGTTGGTTAGGGGGTTCCAGGTTTGCATAATTGACGTTTTTTTTTATTGTTTTTAAATACATATATATACATAAGTTTATACAAAATTATATCACTCATCTGGAAGATGATTTTGACAACGCAGTGATACATATTCTGCATTTTGCGTTATTTTTCTATCTATTTCTTATGAAAGAGTTGTAAAATCATATTTCATATGAGTAATATAATTGCATGTAGTTATGTAAAACTGAATGTTAAACAATAATATTGTCTCTCGACCTAGAATGAATGGAGATCGAAATATCTGTCTATTTTAACCTTTTGTAGATTTGGTTTATAATATATGTAACCATATATATCTAAGTATTGTTTGTTTTTCTATTGAGTTTTTTAATACGAGAGTTGTCCATAAAGTTTGTAGACAAATGCTCCAATTTTCTTACTAATGCCTTTATTATAATATATCAATGCAGGCCATGGTTTATTATTTGTATAAAAATTAAACCAATACACACAATTTCATGAACGTTCTAGTGCATGCAAGCCACACTACCCAGTATGACGTATAGTAACAACATATAATGACTGAGGAAACATCATCACAACATGATTGTTATCCACAAAAGACAGTTGATCCTGTCATAACCTTTATGTATGTAATTTCATTATACTTGCTAAATACACTTAAATACCGACCTCCTTCTTTCTGTCTAAATATCCCCAATTGCGTTGAAACTGTGAAGTGTTCATAGGAAACTTAACAGATTTACGCGATGCTAGACAAAAATGTAACTGTAGACATTCACTGGTTAGATTCAAGAAAACTTATTGAGTATGTTAATTGTTTCAAACACATTTCATTCGGTAAAAATTAATTTCGAATGAAAACAGGAAAGCCCCCCCCCCCCTCTTTTTGATTTTTCTTATTGGAAATAGTAAATTATTCCGAAATTTAAAAGAAATAAAATTTTATTCGAGAAATTACTCCCATGATGTAGCTAAATCCTTTATATTCACTATAAGAGTTCTATGTACCATAAAAATAAATCTTGATAAACTGCCATTTCATATTATTTAGTTTTGTTTTGGAACTCGACAATCTTAACGAAAAAAAAAATATTTCAGACAAATAAATGAATTTTAAAGGGAAGAATTAATTTCCTTCAATTTTAGCCATTTTTTTCCTGCAACGACACCTGACTTGTTTTGAATTTATAAACTTTAGAGAATTTCAGTACTCTTAAATACCCCTCATATTTCATGAATTTTCTGCTTTAAGTTTTTTAAATTTTTTCCTCCATAATTTTTCATTCATTTTTAGAAGATTCCGATCAAAAAGGACCCTTTGGGTTTTACTATAATGACTTCCCGTAATTAATTTAAAATATTTGTACTCATTAAAATGCAAGTCATTTATTATTTTCTGTTTTAGATAAGAAAAGCCTCGCCCATCATTAACCAAAATATCATATTTATCATTAATGTGCATGCTTCGCAATCATTCATTCCAGAGAACGCAATTGTTATTGTGGACTAAAAATTCTGTGATAAATATTTCGAATAGCAGCCTATTTGAATTCAGGGATAGGAGCTTATTTGTCCTCAAATAGATCCTATTTCTTGATGTAATTTTTATGTCTGTCTGGCATTAATTATTGCCTTGATTTGGAATCCCCAAATGGTGGGCCCTGGACACAGATGCTCATCTGCTTGAACAGTAAGTACAAGAAAATTATTCAATTAGAAATCATCGCAGCTACTACTTTCACAGCCTCTCTGAAGAAGGAAGATCTCCCGAGATCCCGTGCTTTAAATAGGTTGGGAATACAGGAACTTGGGAGATTACATATTTATCGCTTACTTCAGCTTTACTCATAAAATCTTAATTTCATTGCGCACGGTTAAACATTTCTAACTTTTTGCGGAAAATTGATGTTTCTGTGCTTGATGTCATAGGTTGTGATGATCCAGTTTGGCTAATATCACAAGAACGCTCGAGATTTGGATTATATGGAAAAATAGTGTACATTTTGCTAATTAGCATTGCGGCCATATTGTATTTAATATGGCTGATTTCTGTTCACTGCATTATATAAGAAAATCAGAAAGATAGAGACTAAAAATATCAAAATTTCTTCCTCATATGGTTTTATTTTTTATTGTGTCCTGGATCGGAATGCACTCTTTTGACAAAATGATGAAAAGTTGATTTAAAAATCTGAAGCGAAGCTTCATTACTTTGATATGCAAAACTATAGTGAAAGAGCTGGGAACGCTTTTGTCAAGTTA